GTTCCAGGTGTTATTTTGGCGATTTGATCGCGCAAGCAAGTTCGTATGATGTTTTTAGACTTGTGTGCATGTTTGTTTGGAGCGTAGAGGGCTCGGGTGATTTTTGGGTAGGCTACGGAGTGAAAATTGGACTTAGAAATGTTGCTGGTGTTTCAGTCTGGTGCTGGCCTCTGATCTCGCATTTGCAAGATCGGGCATCACATTTGCGACCTCTGAGGGGTTCACATTTGCGAGCTACTCATCTCATTTGCGCAGATTAGTTGGGACCCATTGAGTTCGCATTTTCGAAACATACTTCGCATTTGCGAAGTGAGTTAGGAGGGGCAGTGATCGCAAATGTGATCAAGTGGTCGCATTTGCGGAAGGGACAGTGTTCGCATTTGCGAACAATTCATCACAAATGCGATGAAGGCAGAGATGTGAAGCCTTTGCATTTGCGATAGGTTTTTCGCATTTGCGAACCTGGGGTTCACAAATGCGACATCTGCAACTGATCACAATGGGAGTTAGAATGGGTTTTTGGTTCATTCTTCAAATTTTCAAACATAGAAACCCTAGAGGCGATTTTTCAAAGAGCTCTTCTTACCCAAATCATTGGTAAGTGATTCTAAACTAGTTTATTTCAATCTTTCACTACTTTTCCTAAGATTTCAACCTAAAATCTTGTGTTTTCATGGTGGAAATTGGGAGTTTGGGTAAAATTAGAGATTTTTGTAAAATAGGGATTTAGACCTCAAATTGAGGTCAAATTCCAAAACAAATTACATAACCGGACTCGGGGGTAAATGGGTAATCGGTTTTTGGTCCGAATTTTGGGTTTGGACCAAGCGGGCCTGGGTATTGACTTTTGTTGACTTTTTCAATAATGACCTAAATTGAATACAATCGTGGGTAGTTCCTAAGGTTTAATTTGAATCGTTTCGTTGGTAATTTGCTAGACTCTATTGGTTTGGAGGCTTTTTTGAACAGCAAAGCCGTGGTTGAGCTTTGAGTTTTGTCTTTGGAGCGAGGTAAGTGTCGTGGTTAACCTTGACTTGAGGGATTAGGACTTAATTATCTATTTGCTATGTGTTTAAATGTTAGGTACAACGTATATGTGAGGTGACGAGTACTTATGCGTTGTTGTCGGATTTAAGCATGTGGGTGGGACTTGATTTCTTGTAATTATTGCTTTCTTTGATCATGTTACCCATGCTTAGATTAGTTATTGCTAAATTGATCGTTCTTATCATGTTTATGGATTTTTTGTGATCATTGAGTATTGATTTCAAAGTTGAGGTTGGTATTGTAGAACCAAATGCTGAAATAAGGCTTGTTCTTGTTATTCTATCTCCCTCTTGTTATTAGTTTATTGTTTTGTGGTAAGAGAGAGTGTTAATGCACGAAGGGTGATGTCGTGCCATATTGTGAGTGTTAATGTGCGAAGGGTGATGTCGTGCAATATTGTGAGTGTTAATGCACGACGAGTGATGCGGTGCCATGTTATGAGAGTTAATGCACGAAGGGTGATGCCGTTCCATATCTATTGATTTATATTGTGAAGTTGAGAGTAAAAGCACGAATGATGATGCCGTCAATTTTTCGTACTGTGTTTAATTATTTTCACTTATCACAGGCATAATGATTGTCCTGGCTATCATTTCTGCTGAAATTCCCATATGTTGTATTCCCCTTAGCATGTCCCCCTCCCGATATTACTTGTCTAGTTCTTATTTGTTACTCCCTCTGTTCCAATTTATGTGAACCTATTTCCTTTTTGGTCCGTTCCAAAAAGAATGAACCATTTCTAAATTTTGAAACGATTTAGCTTAAATTTACAATTCCACCCTTAATGAGAAGCTTTTATAACCACACAAATACTCTGGGCCCCTTTTTGACTTGTTTAGGACCACAAATTCCAAAAGTCTTCATTTTTTCTTGAACTCCTTGCCCAGTCAAACAGGTTCACATAAATTGGAACGGAGGGAGTATTATTTTGTACATATACTATTAATTGCACAGGTTTATTATGTAGGTGTCTTGTCATAGCCTCGTCACTACTTCGTCGAGGTTAGGCTCGATACTTACGAGCATATGGGGTCGGTTGTACTCATACTACATTCTGCACTTCTTGTGCAGATTTTGGTACCGGCCCTAGCTGATCGTGAGGTTAGCAGCGCGACTTGCTTGTCGGAGACCCAAGGTATATCTGCTGGCGTCCGCAGACCCTGGAGTCCCTTCCTAGTTTCTTTATTATATTGTTTTCTTTTCTTTCATTCTTTCAGATTTTATTTGTAGTAACTCTTAGAAGTTCGTGAATCGTGACACCAGATCCAAATTGTATCAGTTATTATGGGTTTTATGTTACTCCGCAAACTCAGTTTTAGCTTCTGTTAGCTTAATTGTTTCTGTTGTTAAAATTGACTGAAGTTAACTTAAGAATCTTCTAATATTGGCTTTCCTAGCAAGTGAAATGTTAGGCGTCATCACGGTCCCGAAGGTGGGAATTTTAGGTCATGACACAAATATATATAATCCAGAGTGATAAATTAGTTAAAGATTATTCTTTTTGAAATAAAAAATTTTATATTGTCGTAATCCTTAAAAGTTTTTCATTTGAAAAAGAAATAGTAATGATATTTTGTAAATTTCGGTAAGAGTTATTTCAGTTTTTTGGTTGACTTCTAGGTTTAAAGGAGATTCACTGCCATTCAAAAATAAGAAGAGTATTATTTTCCTACCCTAAAGATTAAAGAATAAGGAAGAATTTACTCGAAAAACAACTTCATCAAGGGAAACCCCTTTGAGAAAATACTTTTCGAAATTCAATGGTGTTCTTTTCCTCCAGAGTGGGTTCCATTCCAGAAAAAATCAAAGAGAAAGTAATAGCCCTCTATTTTTTCTCCACACGGTTCAAATACTGCAATTACTTAATTTAGGTCAAGAAAAAGGCTACTCTCTCTTTCTCTTTTTTTCTAATTTATGCCATGTAGTCTTAGAGAAGAGAGGGAATTTTTATTTTGAGTGAGGTATGCCATGTAATATTTGAGTAAGGTCAGGGGTTGCTTGCCAAATGGCACCCGTCGCAATTAATAGAAAAAATCAAATAATACTCCCTCTCTCTCTACGTTCACGTTCCCCCCCCCCCCCCCCTCTCTTTCTTCTTCTTACTCCCATCACCATATAGAAAATAGCCCGTCTTTATTTTTTTTTAGCTTCAAAAGATATTCAAGTTACTATTAACTATTTCAGTCTTCAGAAAATATTTGAACCACGTAAAAAATGAAAAAAAGCTCGTGATTAGAAACATTTTCAGTCTTCTTAAGTTTTTAGACCTGACCCATCAACTTTGCTCGATTGACCTGCCATTGACACGCGAATTAAAAGCATATCATTGAGGCGATAGCTTTGGGAGGGACTACATTAGTCTTAGTTAGTAATAATTTTTAAAACCCAATGAATAAAAAAACATTCTACCTTCTTCATAGAGGGGGACAAAGATACATGACGGGTGTGCTTGAATTTTTTAACATAAATATTTTTATTAGTAGATAGTGGAATTGTAAAAAGAATTTGGGGAGATTTGACAAAAGGGTGGTGGGAAGAAGAAGAAGAAAGTGTGAGAGAGAGAAGCGGGGAGGGGAGGGGGGGGGGGGATTTTTACTATTATTATTATTAGTAGTAATATCGTGTTCCAGAGGTGTTTTTTGGCGAGCAACCACTATCCTCGCTCATAATTTATATGGCATGTTTCGCTCAAAATAAAATTTCTCGAAAAGCTAAAAAATTTCCTTTCATAATTTATTAGGCAATTCTATTCGGTAGAGGTAAAAAGTTAAAATCAGGTGGTCACACGAAGAAATGGAAAAAGTAAAATGGAGCCCTCGAGAGGAATCAAATACCAAACTTTTTCCTTCATCAGGTACTTTTTTTGGGCATGTTTACTGAACCAAAAAAAGCATTAATTGTCATTTAACTATGTTAAAGTTTAATATTTTAAAATTTTAAAATGTTAGAGTACATTACTTTACAAGTTAAAAAAAGGTTCATAATCAAGAGAAGAACAAAGATAAACCATAAGGGTAAATTTCACAAATGGTTATATAACTATGACTATAACTATATTTTTTTCACATAAAAATTATAGAACTTTCACTAACTCGCACAAAAATCATAGTGATTGGAAAACATAATTTTTCGATAATATTTTCTTACTTCACGTTTTTTTATGTTGTCACTCTAATAAATAATAACACAATTAAAAGAGGGACCCGTCCCAAAACTCATATATATAAATTAAAATAATACTAAAAATAAATTAATCTCTCTCCCAAACCCGTTGATCGTAACGATTATTCTGATCTTAGCCACACAACCAACACAGTGTCATGTTAGGTAAAGGGGCTCTTTGATGCAATAAAAAATTGGTAATGCAAGTATTAATGCATGCTTTCACGACTCGAACACGTAATCCGTAATTAAATTATACTGAGATAATTTTACGGTTGCTCCTGGCTCTTCAATGTAATATAAAGAAAGCTCACATGCAGCCATTAATTGCAAGCAAGGATATAGATTCTAGGATTACTAACATAAAAAGGGAAACAACGTTGTAACTAGAAATAAACTGCAAATATAGCGGAAATGACTTGTTTAGAGTTATACTTTTCCTCTAAGTGGGTTCCTGTTGTATTCAAGAAATAATTATAGGTGCCAACCCTAGTTGTTAAATTTTGTTGCCTATCAATCTGTAATACCCTCTCATTTGTCGATCCGTTATAAGTGATGTGCTTAAATTCCAGATAGTTTGCCCCCTAAATTTACACCCCTTCGCCATAAAATAAAGCTATGTTGTTAGGTAATATTTTATTTCTTTATTTATTTATGCATAAATACTATATACAATCCTATTAACTTTTTTGTATATTTTTTTATTTTTCATTTTTATACTCCTTAGTAAAAATTCTGGTTTCGCCTCCACGTCCTATAAATACTATTATCAACGCTGACTCTCCCTCATTTCATTTCTTCTTTACACTTATTTTTTCTTGACGAACTGACTCAAGAACATCTCAAGATGGAGTGCTTTGGAACCAATGCTACGCATAACCAACCCCTGAAATCTCACAAATATTTCTTAGGAGCCCAGATTTTGCTTAGAATATTGGGCATTATATTCACACTGGCTGCCACGTGGACCATTCTTACCAGCAAGCATACTACTGTTAGTGTGTTTGACATTCAGATAAATGCTAACATAAGCTATCCTCCAAGTTTGAAGTAAAACAGATAGGAGTTTTGAAGAATTTTGCTTATAGTTTTTCTTTTTTCCTCTTAAAGTTCCTAATAGGGTTTTGTGATTTTGCACTTTTTGCGTCTCGCAGGTTTTTTGCCTATGCAAATATCATTGGATGCGGCTTCTCTGTTCTCTCCCTGTGTATCGCTTTCATCCTTGGCCATAAAGTTCTTGACCCAAAAAACTTCATTTACATGTTCATTCATGATTTGGTATGTACATTTGTCTCTTTATTGATCACTATGGGGTTCTCAATCAATTACTCCCTCCGTTCCAGCTTATCTAAATATTTTTCTTTTCCAAGGTGGGTTCCATAAGTTTAACTAAATCCATTGCTTTCACTTCGAACAATATTATATGTATGCAAATGTATACGCATACTAAAAATCACACATCAATCATCATAGCAAGTAATTAAGCCGGCCTTAATTAACTTGCGATTGTTGCATAGTTATTGTTATAGACATAATAAAATTATACTAGTCTTTTTGAACTCACTAACTCTAGGTCATGCATTTACCTGTAGTGTTGTTGAAACCATGCATTTAATTTGTTTACCCGCGTATGTAATCAATTTTGAAGCAGCGTATACCACTTTTTCTGTGTATAGATTGTAATGGGATTATTGCTGGCTGGATGTGCAGCAGCAACATCAATTGGATTTGTGGGGAAATATGGAGTTAGGCAGGCTGGGTGGATGCCCATTTGTGATCATGTTTCCAAATTCTGTCACAGAGTTGCAGATAGTGTCATGCTCTCCTACTTGGGCGTTTTCTTCTACTTCTGCCTTTCTATCATCTCTGCAAATCGATCTAGACATATTCAAGTTTGAAAAACAATTAGGAGCAATATATTCTAAGAAATTTCATTCTGCGTCAATATATCACTAAGTAAAAGAAATTATGCAGACTACAGCTACTACTGTAAAAAAAAAAAAAAAAAAAAAAAAAAAAAAAAAAAAAAAAAAAAAAAAAAATAATATTATCAGTACATCAAACAAAACCAGCAAAAGTTTTAATTTTGGTAGAATCATAAATTGCTTGAAATTACTGCGTTATTCAGAGAAGTTACTTACTATTATCTTGTTCAGCTATGCATATGTACATTTGGCTTTGTTAAGTTATTGGATTCTTTCAAATAATGCTTTCTACTCTCTTGTAAGCTCTTTTTTTTTTTTTTAAAAAAATTCTTTTGTATAAAGAGTAGCATAACAAGTCATCCTATTAACAATACTCTTGGAGATTTCTATTCTGTAATGATAGTAATGATATTTTGTAAATTTCGTAAGAGTTTTTTTTAGTGTTTTGGTTGACTTCGAGGTTAAAAGGAGCTTTATTTTGCCATTCAAAAAATAAGAAGAGTATTATTTTCCTACCTTAAAAGGTTAATGAATAAGGAAGAATTTTGTCGAAAAACAACTTCCTCAAGGGAAACCCCTTTGAGTAAATACTTTTCGAAATTCAATGGTGTTCTTTTATTCCATAATAGTAGGTTCCATTCCGTTCAAGAAAAAACAAAAACGAAAGTATTAGCCCTCCATTTTTGCTCCACATGGTTCAACTACTGCAATCACTTAGTTTGGGTCAAGAAAAGGCTACTTTCTCTTTTTCTAGTTCATTTCATGTAATCTGAGAGAAGATAGAGAAATTTTATTTTGAATGAGGCATGCCATGCAATACTTGAGTGAGGGCAGGGGTTGCTTGCCTAATGGCACCTGTTTAACCAAAAATTGTATAATTCGGTTAAAACTTTTTTAAGAAGTACTCGGGCTACTAATAATCAAGAAATTCTATATTTACTTAATGATAAGAAAGGAAATTAAAATATGAGGTAGCAAAAATAGCCAATAGTAAGCAAAAGAAAGTAATTGTATTCCAATAATAATCAGAACGTGTCCGTACAAATGATATCTCTTTCCCTTTTATAGGAGTCTATAAGTACAACGTTTTTTCCCTTTTATGACCGAATCATTATGAACATTAATGACATTAATGAGACGTTATAATTGGTAATCGTAACTGTTTATGAAGATTCTGTAACGTCCGAGCTCATTCATGCTCAATAACTGATGATTCATGAACCTTTCATTTTTAATGTCTTGATTCATTCCGCCGGTACCTCTTCAGGTAACCATTTAAACTTGAGTGACCTTATCTTTTCCTCTCGTGGGTGATTTGCTCGTATCTATTTTGACTCGTGCCTCTTTTAATGCATCTTTCCAGCTGTCGCTTTCTTACTGATCCACGTGTCTTATCATATCAGCCACTCATATAAATCCACGTGTAATATTTATTTTTACCAATACAGATAGTCCCCCCACTTGCATAATATTCTACAATTGGATATTCGGGAAGTGGTATGTATTTATGGCGGGAATTTTTGCCGCCGTTTCCCATGTACCATTACGTCTTCTCCAGAACCAACGCGTCATATGTCACTTCCATTTAATACATGTTCCACGTGGCCTTCGTTAATTGGGTCTACGACTCTTCAGCGATTTCTAGGGCTTTTTTGCGGCTGCATCAGTCATGAAGTGATTCATCATGACGTTTCCTTCATGACCCCCTTTACATAACGGTTTCTTCTTCATATAAATACCTCATTTCTTTGATTTTACGAAAAACTTTCTACTATGTCCCTTGTTCTTTATAGTCCTCATTCTTCATCACGTTTTACTTTCACACGGCTTTCTATCCGTGGTTCTTCTTCTCAACCCAGTATCACTACTCCGTCGTCTTCTAGAACTAGGGCTTCTTCTTCACATAGATCTTCTGTTAGAAGTAGGGATTCTAGTGAACCACTTCGTGAATCCACTGTTGATGAGATTATTCCTACTGAACTTTCCTTCTTTACTGATAGAGAAGCGATTAGAAATCAAGTCACTTCCATGACTTCTCATGATCGTGCTGATATTTACCCTTCCCAGATTACTGAGGGTTTGATTTCCCTTGTGCGGAGAGATTGTCACTAGAAACATGATTTCGCAATTATAGTTCCTAATGCAAATCAAAGGATCACCTCGTTCAAAGCTGGTTATTCTTTTGTGTATACATATCCCTTTACATTGGGTTTTAGACCACCTATTGACCCAGTCATCATAGAGTTTTGTCGTTTCTTCAACGTTTGTTTAGGATAGATTGGTCCTATTATGTTGAGGGCTGTGGAATGCCTTAGATACTTGTCAAACTTGGCTTTTCTACCCTTCACCTTTTATCATCTGATTCATCTTTACTCCCCAAGTTATTTCGTTCTGGGGTGTTTACCCTTGTGGCCAGGAGTAAGAGGGTTTTAGTGAGCCCTGAAGATGACAAGGATCGTGGTTGGTATGCTCGATTCATTGGTGCTCCCACAAGTGGGTTAGTGGGAGAAGAGAACATGCCTTTCCTAGAGAAGTGGAACTTTGCACGTAAGTTTCTTTTCATATTTTCTACTCCTCTTCTTTTTGTGAAGAACCTTCAATTTCATAGCTATTTTATTTTTATTTTTCAGCAACCATGGAAGCTGTTGAGGAAGTCGCAGATTTCCGTGGTTGGGTAGAAAAATTGTTAACCGTTTCTCCTATGGAAGAAAGGTCCTGGATATACCTTTCTCACAGGTTTGGATGGAAAATGAAGACTCATGGTATCCTTATCTTCCCTTTTCTTCCTTGCTTTTATACTTACTTTGTCACTTATTAACCCTTTTCTTTGCTAGGGTTTTCCATTCGGGGTCTGAGTGCCACATCAATTACTACTTCGAGATTCATTCTGATGATGGCTCAAGAGATAATCTTGAATTCTTCGTTAAAAAGAACAGCTGATAGAGCACACAGTTCCGAGAGTGAAGCGGAGCGGGAGAAGAGCTCGTTGGTTCGTATGTCTCGAGCTAGGAGACGTATCATTTCAGATGACGAAGCTACTCCTCCTCCTATTTTTGCTCCCATGCACGAGCCTGAAGGTGCTACCTTAGTAAGTTCTGATGATGAGATGCTTGCCGCATCCCGTGGCTCTACTGAACAACTCTTTTCTCGTGGGTTTGATGAAGACTTCGGCTTTGTTTCCGAGGAAACGCCTCTTGCTTCTTTTCCCACGTCCGTTTCAGTTGACCCTCAGTTCCCCGCACCTGTTGCTACTTCTATGCTCCACCCATGGCTATTTTGACTCCCTGTACTGTCCCTACTGTTACAACTTCTCATGCTGAAGTTGGTTCCTCTAGTAGGGTAATGAAAAAAGTTACCATCGAGGTTCCTGAGGATGGTAATCTTCTGAAGAAATCCGGCCAAGCTGATGTTTGGCTGAAACCATTGATTGGCCTAGTTGAGAAGTCAAAATTGGAGAGCTAAAGTTCTTTAACGTGGATGAATGATATCGTACATTCATCTTTAAAGGTATAAGCCTTAGCTTTTTATTTTGCATGTGATTTCCTTTTCATTGATATCACATTTTCCTTTTCATTGTGTAGATCAACCTCATTGGTACGGAGATGATGAAGAGGATCGTCCACACAGAGCAACTAATGAACGATTATCACATCGAGGCAGACAACTGGAAGGAGCAGTTCGATAGTCTTCAACTTGAGAAAGAAGTCTTAGAGGAAGAAAAGTGTACCTTAGAGCAACAGGTGAAAGTAATGGCAGCTGAATCGCCAGTTGAGAAAGCCTCATCTAATCAGGGGAGTAAAGATAAAAACCTTCTCGAGTCTTCATTTGCTGAGAAACTTTCTAAGGCCACTGAAGAAATTCGGGGTCTCAAGGCACTACTGAACCAGAAAGAAGTTTACGCTGGGGAGCTTGTTCAAACACTCACTCAAGCCCAAGAAGATCTCCGAGTATCTTCTAACAGAGTTCAATTTTTAGAGAGTTCTTTTGCCCCATTACAGGCATCTTATGACGCTGCCTTGAATGAGAAGAAAGAGCTTAGAAGTGAGATTTAGCAGTGGGAAAGAGATTATGAATCCCTTGATGATAAGTCCGTTGTTGAAGTTAGTTGGGCTTTATTGAATACACGCCTCGACGCTTTAACGGAGGCAAGTTGGGAAGGCTTTGACTTAGCTGCTGAGATTGCAAAGATAAAAGAAACTATTGAGAAAGCCCAACAGAGTCAGAGCTTTTCTTCACATGCGGTTGACATTCCCAAAGGTGATGAAGTTACTCCTGGTGAAGATGTTGTTCAATCTCCTTCCACTCAAGTTGTTCCTCCTGCCAGTGATGATACCATTCTTTATCCTACTGGTTCAGATTCTGCCCCACAGTGAAAGTTTGAAAAGCTTGAAGTGTTGTTTCTTTTTTTTTATTGGTGGAGTGTTTGGAAGTTCACCCCTGGTCCTATTTGGGGGTTTAGTAATGTTTGAAATTTCTTACCCCTAGTCTGTTTTGGGGTTTTAATATCAAGTAATTAGGTTGGAACTAAGTTATATACTTAGTTTTAACCAAGTCTATAATATTACTGAGTTTTTGTCTAACTCTTATAATACCTTTATTTTGAGTTTCTATTCTACTCTCGTATCTTTTTACGCTTCCCTTATTTGGGGTTTGAAGACAAATGTTTGCCTTATATTTATAAGTTTTTGGCTTTATCTTCCGCCTATTTTAATGTTCGGGTTTTTGTTTTACCCTTTTTTATGTAACTTTGCATTAAAAAATGCTTCGATGCTTCATGACTCTTTTGAATAAGCACGAATTATAAAAGAAGGCCCTTTTATATACGACACTTAATGAAGAAGACCTCTCAACTTCATATTGGTGTAAACATACGAAAGAAGAAGTAGGAACACACATTTCTCTTAGAATAACTTGAAGAAGTTTTGTATTCTTGAACTTTCAAATTGTAATCCTTACATGTATTAGAATAACATCTACAACTCTTTCATAACTGTTTTCTTTATAACAGATTTTACAAGATTCAAGGGTATATCTTGCAACCCTCAACTAAATGCTTGAGGAAAAAGGGCTGCATGAGATCAAGGACGGGGCCATCAGCGTCAAAGCTTTCGACGGTTCTCAAAGGTCCACCATTGGGGAAATTAGCTTGTGTTTGCAAATGGGGCCTACTTGGTTCGATGTTGACTTTCAAGTGATAGACGTACCAGCATCTTACAATCTGTTGTTGGGACGACCATGGATTCATGCCGCTGGGGCTGTAGCATCAACACTACATCAGGTAGTGAAGTTTGAGTGGAATCACCAAGAGGTGATCATTCACGGCGACGGTAGCAATCCCATATACAGTCGCCAGACTATCCCAGCAATCAAAGGCAGAAGAAAGATAGGTGGGGAAACTTACCACCACATCGAGCGAGTCAACGCCGTTGATAAAAACAAATGGTGGGACAACAAAATCGAAAGCATTTTGAACTGGAGTGGATATGAACCGGGTAAGGGACTTGGCAAGAATCTCCAAGGAGTCACTATGCCCACCAAGCTCAAGAAACATGGCACCACCTTCGGATTGGGGTACGAGTATACCTGGAAAGAATTCAACGACTGGTCGCCACCATGGCGCGGTCCTTACTACCCTTTGGAGCGGCCAATACCCCGTTTGGAGCAGACTTTCCAGCCGGCCGAGGTTATCTATGGGTCAGAAGCAAAAGAAGCACTGGCAGCAGTGAGGAATTTGTTCCTGGAAGATGATGATATGGATTGTTGTGTCATTTTCGAGGAGGAGGGGGAGGAAGGCCCTTCCATACAAGCTGTAAGCAGAGGAGCATGCCTCAATAACTGGACTATCAGAACCAGCAAAGCCCGGCGAGCCTCGGGGTTGCAAGGCTGAACAATCATCACGCATTATCTTTTATTTTTACTAGTTGACTTTCCTTTCGCATTTTTTATTTTTCGTAAGAAAGAGCTCAAATGATCAAAAACGGTTCTGGAATTTATCAAAGCATTTCGATTTTCTTATAAATCTTACTCTTATTATTTTCTCTCATTACTTTACTTATACAGCATTACTATTACTTATCTTGATGAACCAATGACTGTGACATGCAACGAGACAACGCAACAAACGGACATAGACTCAAAGGAAGACGACATACCGGAAGAGATCGTTAAAGAGGTTGAGGATTTTGAGAATAGACCTAAGTCCAACTTGGACGAGACTGAGATTGTTAACTTGGGAGATACAGAAAACATCAAAGAAACACGAATCAGCGTTCATTTGTCACCATCAGCAGGAGAAGGAAGAATATACAGAGTTTCTAAGAGAGTATAAGGACATATTTGCCTGGTCATACGACGACATGACTGGTCTAAGTACATCTATTGTGGCCCACAAATTGCCAACCGATCCAGCCTGTCCACCAGCAAAGCAGAAGCTCAGAAAATTCAAGCCAGATATGAGTTTGAAAATCAAGGAAGAGGTCACTAAGCAGGTCAAAGCTAAGGTTCTCAGGGAAGTGGAGTATCCAACATGGTTAGACAACATCGTGCCAGTACCGAAGAAGGACGGGAAGGTTAGAGTCTGTGTCGACTACCGGGATCTCAACCGGGCCAGTCCGAAAGACGACTTCCCCTTGCCAAACATACACATCCTGATTGACAATTGCACCAAGCAAGAGTTGCAATCATTTGTAGATTGTTTTGCGGGGTACCATCAGATCTGGATGGATGAAGAAGATGCTGAGAAAATGGCTTTCATTACGCCGTGGGGAATGTATTGCTACAAGATGATGCCATTCGGGTTAAAGAATGCAGGGGCCACCTACATGAGGGCCATGACTACTATTTTTCATGATATGATACACAAGGAGATCGAGGTGTATGTAGATGACGTTATCATCAAGTCCAAGAAGGCCACTGATCACATGGAATATTTGAGAAAGTGTTTCAATAGGTTGCGAAGGTACAACCTGAAGCTGAATCCCGCAAAATGTGCCTTCGGGGTTCCTGCCGGAAAATTATTTGGGTTTATTGTGAGTCGTCGGGGAATAAAACTGGATCCATCAAAGATCAAAGCCATTCAAGAATTGCCACCACCCAGGAACAAGAAAGACATATTTCCAACGGGCACAGGTTTATCCTAGTGGCAATCGATTATTTCACCAAATGGGTCGAAGCAGCATCTTATAGAGCAGTAACCAAGAAAGTCGTGGCAGACTTTGTCCGCGACCGCTTCGTTTGTCAATTCGGGATTCCAGAGTCAATCATTACTGATAATGGCTCCAATCTCAACAGTGACTTGATGAAAGCTATGTGTGAAACTTTCAAGATCAGACACAAGAATTCCACAGACTACAGGCCTTAGATGAATGGAGCTGTAGAAGCCGCCAACAAGAACATTAAGAAGATACTGAGGAAAATGATAGAGAAGCATAAGCAGTGACACGAGAAGTTATCATTTGCTTTATTGGGGTATCGCACCACAGTCCGCACGTCAACTGGGGCAACCCCTATATGCTGGTTTATGGTACAGAAGCTGTCATTCCCGCCGAAGTAGAAATTCCTTCCTTAAGGATCATACAAGAAACTGAGCTCGATGACGCAGAATGGGTGAGAAATCGCTACGAGCAGCTGGCTCTTATAGATGGGAAGAGAATGAATGCAGTTTGTCACGGTCAGCTTTATCAGAACAGAATGTCCAAAGCTTTCAACAAGAGAGTCAAGCCGAAACAGCTGGTATTAAAGAAAATCTTCCCGCACCAAGATGAAGCCAAAGGGAAATTCTCTCCCAATTAGCAGGGTCCATACATGGTTCATCGGGTTCTGACAGGAGGAGCCCTGATACTTGCAGAAATGGATGGAGAAGTTTGGCCAAAACCAATCAACTCAGATGCAGTCAAGCGCTACTATATGTAATCTTATGCTATCCTATATGATGTAATTTGAACTACGTCTGACCTTATTCCCATTTAAGAGGGGATACGTACGCAGCCTAATGGGTTCGGTCATAATTCAATAAAAATTTCATTTCCCCCCGCAATTGGAAACTGGGGCAGAATTTTGAGGAGGACCCTCAAAATTCCGTAGTAATTTCAGCCGATCATCGCAAGCAGCCGTCAAAAGTAGCAACCCATTAAACTGGGGCAAAATTTTGAGGAGGACCCTCAAAATTCCGAAGCAAGAGAGGTTGCAATGTCCTAAACCACATCACAGTCGTCGGTTCATCTAAAAAACTATTTCTTAAATATATACTTATGTCATATCTTTAACAAACTCATGCATGTTTATCGAAATCGCTTTGTTCAGCAACGCTACCCCTATGATACATACCGTGTCATCAGATCAGAGCCGAGCAGGTCAAGCAAAGTCAGCAGGAACACGAACTAACCTTTCCCCTTTACAAAACTCACGATTTTTCTTTGGATGCAGGCACCCAAGTCACAAAATCATATATTATACGCTCATACTGTTCAAGGATACAACTCTCAGAACCGTCACACCTATTCACAGTTGCTATCCGCACACAGTACCCCCAGCAGCCACGATATCGCAATTAGCTATCAGTTATCAGCTATCAGCTAAGAAACTTCACTACTATTCATCTTTTATTTCTTGCATTGCATAAGGCTACCATTCTGCCTTCCGAGACTAAGCACTGGCTTCATCTGCATTTCCTGCATTGCATAAGGCTACCATTCTGCCTTCCGAGACTAAGCACTGTCTCCATCTACATTTCTTGCATTGCATAAGGCTACCATTATGTCTTCCGAGACTAAGCTCTGTCTCCATCTGCATTTCTGCATTGCATAAGGCTACCATTCTGCCTTCCGAGACTAAGCTCTGTCTCCATCTGCAATTCCTGCATTCCATAAGGCTACCATTCTGTCTTCTGAGACTAAGCTCTGTCTCCATCTGCATTTCTGCATTGCATAAGGATACTATTCTGCCTTTCGAGGTCAAGCTCTACCTCCATCTGCATTCCTGCATTGCATAAGGCTACCATTCTGCCTTCCGAGACTAAGCTCTGCCTCCACCTGCATTCCTGCATTGCATAAGGCTACCATTCTGCCTTCCGAGACTAAGCTCTGTCTCCATCTGCATCTGCATGGCTGAAAGATCGCCACCTTTGCATTTCTGCATGGCTGAAAGATCGCCACCTTTGTATTTCTGCATGGCTGAAAGATCGCCACCTTATTTACATTTTGCATAGCAGAAAAATCGCCACCTTTACATTTTTGCATGGCTGAAAGATCGCCACCTTTACATTTTCGCATGGCTGAAAGATCGCCGCCCTTACATCTTGCATCAGCTGAAAGATCGCCTCCTAATGCATCTCATGGGCTGGAAGATCGCCAAACTGTCCAAAGGCGTCATTGTTCGGGGCACCATTTCCATAGCCCGAGAACGTCATGCCATGGCCCGAGGACCTCTTTTAATGTCTTGCATATCATTATTCAAAGGAATCATTGTTAGGAGGCATCATTCTCATAGCCCGAGAGCATCATTTCATAGCCTGCGAATCCTTTATTATATGCTTCATGGCCCAGGACATCATGGTCTAAGGACGTCATCTTAACCGTCCAAAGACAGCATTCATGGTCCAACGGGAACTTGCATCACGTTTAAATTTATGCACAATATCGCTTGTATTGTTTATTTGCAGGTAAACCGACGAGCAACATCCATCTCGGCAGGAGCATTCCACTCCAATTCCCGCAACCCTACTAAACTTTAACCATTCATCCCAACCTAAATATCATGTCCGTTCTTGAAAGATCTCCATCGGCATATTCCGCCGACGGATCCTGAACTACATGTGGCCTGATTCCTGTAAGCCCAGGGATATGTAAGCAGCTCAGGAACCAGAGCACGGTCAGATTCTTCAAACCGTTTCGTTTGGTCAAATTGGCCATCATATCTTTACCCAACAACTCTTTCATTCTTCCCTGGTAAAGAGGGGCAGCTGTTGATACCCAATTTTTTCCTGTATATTTTTTATATGCAAAATACTTTCAAAATAGCATATGTATGCATATATAAGTGTGTCCAAATGTTTTAGTATTTTCCCTAATTTTTAAATCAATTTATTGCCCTATTTTAGCAATACAAAAACCAATAATTATTCCTCAAATTATCATTTTGGTGATTAATTTATTTTATTCTCATATTTATCCCAAAATATAGCTAAGGTAATTTTTACAAATTTATTTAGTATTTTTAAAGCTAAATTGCATATAATTGCAATATTAGCCTATTTTAAGAATTAATTGCGTTTATAATTACAAATTTAATTTCAGTATTTTTAATCTAATATTTATATATTATTAATTAATTTAGCACCTTTAATTTGTTTTCAGAAATCATTTTGCTAAAATAAAAAGGGGAAAAGCGACTATTTAAATACTAGCCCTATTTCATTTCAACTATAGCCCAAATCAACCCCCCAATTAACCCAATCTCAACCCCAAAATTACCCGACCCAATTCCTAAACTACCCGCCTCTGACCCAATTAAAAAACCCGCCCAGACCTATTTTTTAATCCCAGCCGTTGATCTAACACATCAACGGCTCACACTCCATCTTTCCTTTTTTAATTTACCAAACCCCCAACCCTATTTCATTTTCAATTATCCGCCGCCCCTGAAACCCTCCCCTCTCTCAAACACTCTCGAACCTTCCCTAACCCTAGCCGCCTCTCATCGTCTTCCACCGTGAAATCCACCGAAATCCATGGCTTCTCAGGCCATGGGAGTCTTATACTCACCTCCCTTTGCTCTTACACACCGGATACCTGAAGAACTCGAGGCCAGTCCTCGAAGGTTTGCGCTCAGACCTTCGCCGATTCAAGGTTCCAGAGTCATCGCCGGCCTTGCTCCGGCGTACCATGGTGTTTTGAGCCTAGTTCTGACCTCTACGTCTCAGGTCAATGACCTTTTCAAAGCCTTTCTCATTCTAGGGTTCTCTGAAACCCTGAACCTTCGAGGTTTTTCTCCGATTATTTTTAGATCTGTTGTGTATCTATGCTCTACTTGAGTTTTCAAACGATTTCCCTAACTTTTCTTTCGAAAATCACTTTCCGAACCTTTCTTTTCCAATTTAGGATTTTCTGGAAAGTGTTTATGTGTTTTTTCTTCTTTGTTATTCGTGTGTTTGCCTCCGCTATGTTCTCGTATCATCTCTTGTATGCTTCTCTTACTGTATTCTCCTATACTATGGTCTCGTAGACTTCTCTACTGTATTTTTACCATGTTCTTATATGTTTATCTTACTGTGTTTTCCTATATGCTTTTCTGCTATACTTTTCTGGTGTTCTTGTATTCTTCTACTGTATTTTTTTACTAAGTTTTTAAGTTTCTTTGTTTGCCTTCTACTAAGCCCTGTTTAGGTTTCTTCTAAGCATGCTTTCTCTACTGTTCTTATCAGTATTTGCCA